AATCCATGAAATAATTTAAGTTGATAGATTAACTTCAAATTTCTCCGTCACTGTGGACGGGTACTTTTGCTTGTTACAAATAAGTGTCGTATTAAGGAATGTTGTCCCAAGGCAGCAACAAATATTATAAACTTCTGAGAATAGCAAAGGAACTGGTCTGTCATGGCAAAGTGGTTAGGACGCTCAATTCGTAATCTGTGGGTCACGGGTTCGAATTTCCATCCCACCAAATATACTCGCCCTTTCAGCCATGGGGCCGTTATAATGTGATGATCAATCCCACTATTCGTTGATAAAAGAGTAGCCTAAGAGTTGGCGGTGGGTGGTGTTGAATAGCTGCCTTCCCTCTAGTCTTAACTGCTAAATTAGGGACGGTTAGCGCAGATAGCCTTCGTGTAGCTTTGCGCAAAATTCAAACCAACCAACTACTGCAAGGTATTTAATTCATTCCATTCCTAAGTTATTTCAATGGGGAGGGGGAGTATAAGTAATGCATTTTTTAAAGCAGATAATTTGTTAACATAAGATAGAAAGCAACATATAATATCATAACGTGAACTTCACAATTTTGTACATGAAAATCAATTTATTTTAAATAGTTCAGATACAAACCTTAACACAAAAAAATCGATGCCTCACCACATTCGTGGTAGAGATCACCATGGTGACAGACACAACGTAAAGTGTGTTAGCTATTTTGCAATTGATGCAGTAAGCTATAACAGCTTTTATGTCATTGAAATTCATGTAATTTTTCCATTTTAAACAAGTGACCTAACATTATCTACACGAATAAAACTTTGCGTATAATCAAGGGTAAAATTCGTTGGTATTTTAATTTGCAATCACATTACTGAAATTTTAGTCCCATAATGTTATTGGATAATCTAACATACTCAGTGAGCTCGCTTAAACTGTATATAATTATTTTTTTAGTCTATTACTATGCATAGCGCTTGGATATTTGGCTCTCTTTCATTCATTGCGCTAGATGACGCCAGTTGTTGGGCTACGGTGGCTTATTTCGATCGGGACTGATTTAAGAAATATACAGTAATTGAAATAAAGAAGAAAAAAAAAGAAATGTGTAACTTGATTAAATGGTATTTTTAACTTTTGCATAGAAATCTGTTTCTCTTTTCCTTTTATCTTAAGAAGGATATTACTTTAAAGTAATATCATCGTACAATTTATAAAACATTTACGTTGTCAATGCTAATTTTATACCTTCAATCCACATAAGGGAAAGAATTATTTAAAAATCAAGTAATCCCGTAAGGTTTGTAGTGAATATCATTCAGGGTAAAATCACGCGATAAAAAAATACTGACATTTTAAAACAGTTTTTTTTAAGTAATTAAAAATTATATATATTTAGAAAAGGGTTGATTCGTTACCAAAAGCTGTCGATAGCACTTAATAATCTCCTTTCAAACCAGAAATTATATGACATTTTCGGAATATATATATATGCGTGGAAATTTTGACTTAATTTATCTCAGCAGGATTACGCCAATATCTAATATGTCTGTGTTTCACTTGTAATATTTACTTCATTACTGTAAGCTTTTCAGTATTTAATCATCCTGGCTTTCCAAAAAAATAACAGATAACCACACACAAGAAAGATACATAATCTAGATTAGAACCTACCTGAACGACGAAATAAAATATAAAACAATCTTAAACGTCATCCAATTACACAATTTGTCAATATAAATATTTTCATGACCTAGATTTTCTTTCTAAAACAAAGCCACATTGGGCTATCTGCTGTGTCACGCGGGGAATCGAACCCCAGATTTTAGCGTTATAAGTCCATAAAATTACCGCTGTACCATAGGTAGACGGTGTTCTAAATAATGACACTCCTAGGAAAGCTGCAAATGATCCCATATCGATTAGCTTTAGGTTTTTCCCCTTTTGATCGGGTAAGGTGGCTTTAATCCAAAGTAAGTTTTAGACTGAAGTATAAAACGTTGAAGATGAAATAAGGTAAACAACTTAAGCATTTTCTCTACAAGCCTTTAGTCTGAGTTTACTATTTTTGCATTTTTGAATAATAAACCGCTTATTATTCCTTACATTTTTTTCAATATTTCAATTATGAGTTTACTAAGCCACTTTTTATTTTTATTTTTTTGATGTAGCATACATAACTTAATGTAGATTTTGACATAGACATTGCAGATTATAAACAATCGTTCAATAATATCGGTGTAGTAGAGGAAGTCTGTTCCATTCTATGATCATCATGACTTTTTCTGCGAAATTCATTTGGAGTTGAAAACGAGACTTCAAAGAATGTGAGTGCTTGTACAAGAAATAATGTATTTTGATGCATAAAAGTAAAACTTATATAATGGTGATAATATATATTTTGTATTCTGTATATATACATATATATATATACATACGTGGGCAACTCTTGGCAAAAAAGGAACATTTTTTGTAATTCTATGTGATAGTGTGATACCTCAATGTATAAAATCTTATCTTCCGCATAGCATTAGTAAATGGAAAGTAAAGCCTGCTTCTCTACCTTCTAAGAGCTTTCCAATGGCTCAGAGGTAAGTATACAAGTTTACGACACTAAAATTCGGATTTCGATACTGTGGTGGGCAGATCACAGGTAGCCCGTTATGTAGCTTTGCGATTAACAACAACCAAACAAAATCAAACTACCCTCTAAAATGTACCTTAACAAGGTGTTATGGTAACGTTCTTTAAATTGTTGGACTAAAAAATGTACATGTAATCGACGTTAAACACATTTTATAGGTAGTCTTAGACTCAAACCTTGATAATGTTTTTTAGACATAACAGGCCTATTTTGTAACTACTATCAGGAGAAATATGAATTAATAGTTGTTGTTGTTTTTTTCACCAGCTGCAACGTATTGAGGTTTAATTGCTCTATAAAAGAACGATGTTCCAAGTCCTGTTCTGTCTTTGGGACTAATTTCTCTATCATCGATAGTGCTCAATCTGGTGGTCTTGATTAAGCATCTTTTTTTTTTCTTTTTGTCACAAGCATCTGAATTCACCCTTAGCCCGCCAGCTGGATAAATGTGTCCACAAAGTCTCCATTTGTGCAAGATCACATTTAAACAGACCCAAAATAGGAAAATTTTAGTGGTGCTGCATCCGGAGACATGCCATATATACAGTCGGCTGAGATTACTGTGATTCCAGTTTTATCAGCTATTTTTTTTCATAACAAAAGTTGTTAATTTCAGGGTGTGAATGAAATTTTGTCAGCTTTTCGTCTGTGAACCTTTATCAACGTCAAATCCTTGTTCATTACCTTGTTAATCGCATCAACAAACATGCTCACGGTTTTTGTGGGAGGGGGGTAGAGGGTTATTTTTCGTAACCATTGCCTTCACTATGTGTGAATGCGTTGATCCAAATTGGTTTTGAGTCGATTGATAATTTGACTATACCAGATTTTCTTACTGCATTGTATCATGGTGTAATAGTTTAACATATTCACCTTTTATTGTTGCTGTTTTTTGTTTGTTTGTTTTTTATTGGGATTTTGCAGTTAGAAGAGCTTATGATTTCATTGTACCATATGTGTATTTAGGTAAATCCAAGCAAAATTCTATAATTTTGTACAGATGTCCTTCATGTAATTAGTGACGTCCTTGTAAACTGGATGAGAAAAGGCCATACCCTTGTGGTAATCCTCTAGCTTGGAACGAAAGTCCTATACCACAAGATTATTATGTAAGGCTTATACTTACTTAACCTTATTTCTTAGTTACGCTCTTAAGAAGTGAGGCTCAGGTCTTGGTGTTGGCGTAAGTAATCTAGAACCGTAGGATACAAGATTGAGGCTTTGATTTGACGTTAAAGTGGGTTGTCATCATGATTCTCATTCTTACCTTCGCCTAATGCAGACATTTTAATCTCTTGTCACAGAAACCAGAAGTTACGCAACAGAAGTTAAAAGACGGCCATTTAAGCAGATTTATTGTTCGTGATTAAAAATTTAGTTTATTTGTTGTCGCAAAAGAGAACTTAAAAGCCGGTTATTGAAGCAAAGACGTAGACTGTTTTTGAATAAAAATTGTGTTTACTTGTTCATTTGTGTTTGCTTTAATTCTTTGCACTACATTCGAAATTGTCATCTGCAAATCATTTTCGGAACGTGATGTTCCGTGGATACTTAAAAAACGTTCGTCTGACATTAATATATACCTGAATATCATAGATCTATTTCTATTCAGCAAACTTTTACAGTAATTTTAACAAAGTTAATTTTAATTATATTTATCCACCTCCTTTTTATCACGCAATTTTCACAGTTTATTACTTAATTACGTTTATAAAATCGCGCACTAAGACAATATTCTAGCTGCTTCACTAACCCCGTATTTATAATTTGTCCTTGTTCTAGATATTTAGTTCATAATATTTTCGAATATTTTAGGACTAACTTGATCTCAACCTGATGCGCTCTCTAGCTACCATATAAATTACATCAAAGAACTCTAATTGCCATCAAACTGTATAAGATATCAGTCATTCACCACAAATTCTAAATAGGTGCGGTAAACTGTTGTGTAACAGTTTAAGATAAGATAATGAAAGCAAAATGTTTTAGCGCATATTATTATTAGTACATTTTTACTATACTAGCTATCAAGAGATATGCGATTTACATGCAGTTGGCAATAGTTCAATATATATTCCTTATTTATTAATTTGTTTTTCGAAGTTAATTTTAACAGTAGGATACTTGTTAGTTGGACATAATTAAGTGTTAATAGTTACCCTTGCCACTATTTACTATTAAGCAGCCACAGTAGTCGAGTTTTCAGTGAACTCTTTGTCATCATATCATTTACTTAACGTTTGTGTCGTTATGTAGACAACAATAATTGATAAATATTTTTATTCGACATATGATTAATTTCCCATATTTTCACCAGTGTCATCGGTACTTATATTGGATTTAATTTTGACGTTAACTGTACGAGGGCGCTTTAAATAACGATCAGAAGAATGGCGGGTCTTCCTTCGCCTTCTGAGGTAAATCCGTCGTATTTAAATATTTTAGTTTATTCTTATGTGATTTATTTTTCAAGAACATTTATTTGACAGCAGTAAGTACTTATAGTGTAATAACTTGAAGTCAAAATTTTCATGGTGTTTGTGCTTTTTTAAAAACCAATAAGTGTTTAAGTTTCAATTAAAATTTAAATTAATCATTTAAATTTTAATGTCTGACTTAAATAGTTCACTAGTTGTAGTTTTATGTTGACTATAGGCCTAACGCTAGTGATAACATAAACTAAACAATAAATTTTGAACAATACGACATTAGTTAGTTTATGTTAGTATAGTAACTGTATAATTAAGTGTGTAATAAGTATAGTTTAATTAATACATATCGTAAATGTCACAATTTACATGCCTCAAATTCAGGGGTTGGTGGTTGGGCCATTGACTTCCTTGTTTGTTTAACTTTAACTTAAGTAAATGACTAATAGTAATACTGTTAGTGGTAGGGTCTTGATTAGTAAATTAATAGAATTTTTTGATGACATTAAACTTGCTCTTGTCTTGCGTTTTTCTACTCTATCTATATTGAGCATTTTAACTTTAAGGTACTACATAATTATTTGGTCAATGGCGTTGGATGTATAGTTGGAAAATGACGTTTAATTTTTAAAAGTAATAAATGAATGGGAACCACTCAATAGCATGATGTTAGAAAAGGATATTGATGTCATGGTGGAAAGTCACTCAAGCTGTTGTGGCATTGCTCAGTTGCTATTACTGTACTAGTAAAGCTAATATAATTTTAGTGTTATACTTAAAGTTAAATGTTAAGGACACTGATTAAAGTCTAAAGAAGTAATTATCTCTGTGTAAATTGCTAGTTAGGCTTTCCTTGGAATATTTTGTATAGTTTTGGTCTCTCTATCTAAGAAATGATATTGACAAATTGAAAAGGGTTGAAAAGAGGGTTACTACTAGATGAAATAATGGCTGGAGACAGCTTGAATGGGTAATGAAAAAAACTTTAATATAAGTTTAACATAACAGCAAATGTACAACGTTTCGACAAGGTTTTGTCATCATCAGCTTATATTTCTACACCTCCACACAAAATACTTCATGCATCTGCCACAGTGAATTGCATGCCACTAGCCTCAAGTTAACATCTTCCTGCATGTACTCTTGACCCGTGTTCCATTTGTATACTATGTTTTATCTGTATTTTTTGCCTTCCATTCTTTTGATTCTCTCTTCAAGTTAGAGTCAGCCCCTTTTGTATTCCTTGGTATTGTGAGAGCCTTTGTTTGCCTTATCCATGTCCCAGGGCTGACTTTCTTTTTTTTTCTGGACTACTTTCTTCTGTTCACCCATTCTTGGATGTTTTCACCCAATTTCCTTCTTGGTTTAGGGGTTACTTATCTTTGTATCTCAGTCCTTTCTCATGCCAACTCCTAATTTGGTACTTTAAGGCATTTTTTTTACCTCTGTTGTCTCAGTTGTGTTCAACCTTCTTCTCTTTGGATGGACACTATGATACATTTCTCATTCCTTTGGGGCACACACTGATGTGTCTTCTGTGGACCTTGTGGACCCACAGTTTACTTTCTTAGTGTCCATTGTCCTCCTTTTTTTTTAGCCTTTCCTCGAGGAATTGTCTTGGTAACTGGACTGTGCTCATACTACTTCCTACATTCCATTACTGGATCTCTAACTTCTTTGATGCTTCCCTCTCTGATTGAGACATTTCTGATGGGGGCAGAACTTCTGATGTTTGGACACTGGTTAAGTATTTACTCCACATCAATGTGCTTGACCTTATCTCTATTTGTTGGGCATGTTCCCATTCCTACCCCTATTAATGGATCACTTGGTCATATTCCACTCAGTCTCTTCCACAGTAGTTTCTTACACAAACTGTTCATGAGGCACCTGTTCCAGGACCTATTGATTTTCAAGCATTGAACACACACTTCTGAGCCCATTCATATAGAGTTAATTTTCTTGCTTGTCATTTGCCAGGGGCTTAATATTTGGTTTCTGACTGCCTATCTTGGCCAGTCTGCATCCTATCTCTGAAACAGTATGGACAGCCCTATGTCTTTTATGGTGCTTGCTCTGGGTTGGACATGTCCTCTTAGATGCATTTGCCACCTTTCTCAACTCTGAGCTTTCTCTCTCTGGGCTCTGACTGTTTATTTTCTCAGCCAGGCCTGGTATCACCTCTTTCTATATGCATATTCCTCCATCCATCTCCTCCCTCTGGTCCTGAGCTTTACACACTCCTTCTTGAGCCCTATTGCTGGCACCTCTATGACCACCTCAGCCTTAGTCCACCTGACTTTGTCCCTTCCTCTTTTCTCCAATATCCCCTCCTTCTCTTGCTTTACCTTCACACATCTATTCTTAATTGAGGGATATCTTCCCTCCATCCTCACACACGGAAACTTGCCAAATTTGTTGTCTATCAAGCTGGACTTTCTAATTTAGTGGCATTTTTTTTGTAACTTTCTTTTCACCAATCCACTGTTAATCAAGATATTTAAGAATATAAAAAAAATTAGAGACAAACTTACCTGGTTTTATTAGTTTAGTTAGTGATAGACAGTAACTTTTACTGAAGGTTATAAATTAAGCTAATAAGATGCAAGGAAACTTTGTATGGGTGGAAATATTTTGGATTTAGATCTAGTGTGGCTTAGTTTATGGTAATTTCTATTCCTTCACTAATACTGAATATTTGAATATATGTTAGAAATAGAGATTTTTTTGTTCTTAATAAATTGGAATTAATTGATACTACAGATGTTTTTTTTTAATGAAGAATGATAAAGCAAAGTTTTGAAATTAGAAACTAGGGAAAGCATTTAAGTTTACCTTAACAATAAGGTACATATTGTTATAAAAAAGTACTATTATTGGATAATTTGATCTTAGCAAGACATTGTATTATGTGTAATTGGAAGAATTCTCTTATTCTCAAGGGTTTTGGGAGTTTCTGAATGTTATAAAGAGCTGTTTTTAAATGAAAAAATTGCTACAGATATTAGTCTAGAAGCCAACATTGTCTAAGTGCTCTATAAATGGACTTAGTAGTACCTAAAAGTATTAAATTTCAATGCCCATTTTTATAAACAATATATATTCCAGTGTAAAATAAATCATAGGTCTGCAAAAATATGGATTGCAAACATTCTTAAAATTGCACAAACATATAAGGATGATTGCTTTACAGAAAGTTCATTTTTGAACAAAACAACAATTGCATAGTTTGCAATTCTTCCAGGAATGATTGGTATTGATAAATTTGTAATATCACTTCAAACTTCTGTAATGATTCATTGAAAGACTATCTTGACTCTTTTCTAGTTTGTAGTTGTTATATAAATATATGTTATACATGAATACAAGCTGGCAGTATAGAGTTACCCCTTGTGATTACCTACTTCAGTATTGTTTTTTAACTAGGATAGTGTTGACTTCTCTATCAGAATTAATTATATTAAATTACATATTTAATTGTTTAGTAAAGTCTATGCAGGCTAGCATCACAGGAGAATCTCATGTGACAGATAAACTGTTGACTAAAGGCAATGGAGGCCAGTGACCTAGAGATTCCCCCATGATAACTTATTTGCGTGTTTTCCTTAGCGCAAGGAGACTCCTGGCTTTTCTTTATCTCGCACTTAATACAGTATTTGTGAATGCTTTGTAATACTTAGGAGTTTTTTCTCCTAAGTTTATTATATTAAGCTGATGGAAAATGAATGTTAAATTTTTAATGCCAAAGAAAAGAGCAAATATGGATGTATATTTTTCCAAATGCAGACTTTGTCAAACTAATTTTGTGACTGTTCTTCATAATTTGACAATGAAGGTATGTACTTTGGTGCATTATTTAATTGAAAAAACTACTTAGTACATTACTACCATTAGTAAAAAACGATAGGGTTAAGTGTTATCGACAATGGTCAG